TTGCAGATTTATTATAGTATTGCTATATATTACTATAAATAATAATAAATAAAAAATATCACTAAAACAGTAATTATTTATTAAAAGATACTCATCCAAGTAATTTTTCATAAAAGAATAAACACTTGATTGGCATACGACGGATGTTTCATGCAAAGTCTTTAGTCATGGCCCATGACAGCAAAATAGTTTTTTTTTTTTAAATAGTTTTTTTTTCCATTTGATTGTAAATGGCTCATATTCTTCAATCAATCTTGCAAAAAGTAACTTTAGAAGATTTTTTTTTGGTCAAAATGAAGGTGAGGGGCATCTGATCCTCATGAATTGTTCCATCAATGTGTTCTACGTGCTTCCAATTTAATTATTCCTTCGTAATTATGATTAGGGGCGTAAAAAATGGGCCTAATTATAAGTAACTCGTTCGATTCGATCATAATTTTAAGGGTTGAACTCAAGATAATTTGAATTGTGGTCATTCTCGACCCATCAAGTCTTAATTCATTTAAAGAGAATCTTCAATTGAGCCCAATTTAATCTCCAATTTCAACCCGTTTTAAGATCTTTATTTTCATTGATGTAATGTATGTTACTATATTGAAGATATGAATTACTATCTATTTTATGTCTTTTAGGATTTGTCTATCCATTTGTAACTTCTTTTTTTAAATTTTCTTGAGTTGAAATTCAAATTGTAGTTATAAAACTTAAATAACAATATATTAAAATTATTGAAATTAGGCGGATCAAATTGGGCGGTTCAAAACTCAACCCGCTTTTAGCCCATTTGAGTCCAACCCATTTGAGCCCAAAGTGCGAGTTAGAAACCAACTCAATTTCTATTTCAACCCATTTTAATATCTTCAATTTTGACCCAACCACTCATTTGACATCTCTAATTACGATGTTTATCTAAATTAGTTTTGTCTTGTGCTTAAAAGAGGTACGTGTCAAATAGAAAAACATAACAGCCAATTTGGTAGAGTTAGAATCGAAATTGATCAAAATCAAAATCAAACTAAACATAATATATATTTATCAATTTGATTGTTATCGATTTCGAATTAGTTTAATTCGAATATTAATCATAGACCAAAATAAAATTAAAAGAGAAGATGAGAGAATAGCAAAAGAAATTAGTTACCGAACAAACACCTGCCAATGTTATCCGTCATTAATGTGTTGTTTTATTACTTTCGACAATGCAATTTTTATTTTGATTGTACTCCTTTTGTTCCTATTTGCATTTTTTTATTACTAAAAATAGATATGTCTAACCAAGATATCTAATTTCTTAAGGACATTTAATTTGTTGTTATGTAATAATGAAAAATGTTATATTATATTATATAATAACTAATTTGATGTGATTATGTTATTACCTAATTTTCTTCTTCTATCTTACATCACATTTTATTTAACAATATTATTTTACTCTGTATCCTATTTCTTTTATTATAATAACTTTATCTTGTACTTTAAACACAGAAAATGGTATATACAACATATCCAAATTTATATCTATTAAATAATATTATACAATACAATATATATAGAATAAATTTCAGAATAGAAAATATAATAAACATAATAAGACTTTATAGTTATAATTTTAATAATTACGCTCTATAATTATAATTCTATTTGCTATAAAGACTAATTACATATTTCTGTCAGTTTATATAATACTATAAATTATGATATGGAAGACTACTTTATAATTCATAGTACTGCAGACAAGTCCGTCGGATATGACATTATTAGGGCCCTTAATAAAAGTAAATAGGCCATATTTTTCCAACTTTTTTCTTTTTAGTAGGGCAGTGCATAACGTTCTAAAGTTGTTCCTTTTAGAAAAATGTTTATAGATTGTTAGGCAGTTCTGATTTTGTAATTCTTTGTAATTTTGTTTTTGAATATGACTTAAGATAGAAGAATGTGGAGGTCGTATATATAAAGAAAAAAAATTAGTAGGGAGTCGATCATTGTTTTAATATTTAATATTTACCTGTTCATGTATTCTTTGAGTTGGTAGTAGTTTAGAGTACCATGTATGTTGTATTTTTGGATTATGGTATATGTATCATCGGTTGTTTATTATGTTTAGTAATTGACCACACCTTGTTATTGATGTTACAGTTCCTTACATAAATGCTTCGCACAGTTGTCATGTTTTTCTTCACTGTTGTTTTTCCTTTTCATTATTACTTTGATTTGCTTCACTTGAATTGTGAGTTTTTGAAAACAACCTATCTATACCTCCAAGAAATAGAGGTAATTAAGTTTACATATACTCTATCTTTCCCAAATTTTACTTTATCAATAAAATTTGTAAGTGATCTTAAGAGATCATTTCCTCGTGTTGCTCTCAATATAATTAAGTAAGACCAAGACTATATATAATAGTAGGGTCCATCTATCACAAAGTCGAAGTAATGGGAGACTAGCTACTGTAGTTATCATTGTGGAAAAATAGTGGAGGATTGTTGGGGGACATATGCTGATTGTGATATATTCTATCTTATCTATATTATTGGAGGAAAAAAGTAGAAGTGCACACAAAAAAGCTGATTGAACCAACAGTACAAATAACCTTGCTCTATGAAGAAAATTACTTTCCAATAAAGATGGAATTACTTGGACAAAAAAGCTGAAGAGAAATATGAAACACGTTGATCATAATTAGACCATACACTCAAGTGACGGAGTCAAATTTTTTATTAAAGAGTATCAAAATATACAAAGAGTAAATTAATGAAGAAGTCACAGTGTGTGAATATATATATAAGAAAATATTTTTATCTAGTTACATAATGTAATTTTTTGACGAAAAGATATCGATTAATACCCCTTAAATATATGTAGTTCCACCACTGCATACACTCGGGTGGAGCTACAGACCCCCGGAAAATTGCAATATATATTACAATCAATTTATTAATATATATATATATATATATATATACACACACACACTCCCTCCGTCCCATTTTATATGAGGTAGTTTCACTCGGCACGAAGTTTAAGAAAGAAATGAAGACTTTTAAAACTTGTGGTCCAAAATGAATGATAGAAATTTGTGTGGCGGTAAATCATTTCATTAAAATGGACATTTTATAGTTAAATTGTTACTTAATATAGAAATGTGTCATTCTTTTTGGGACGGACTAAAAAGGAAAGTAAGTCACATAAATTGAGTGAGATGGAGTATACAAAAAATAGATATTGAATTTCATAACTTAAATTTAAAAAATATCTTCTTCAAAAGAAAAGTTCCAACTTCCCCTCCATTTATTTTCTATCGCTCATCTTTTTTCTTATAAAGTTGCTTTTAAATACTTGGGGGTGGGGGGTATATGCTGATTATGATATATTCGCTACTTAAATACTTGTCAGTTATTTATAATCTGCTAACCCGAAGAATGATCACTATATAAATCGTGGATGAGCCAGGATTATTATTAAGGGGTTCAAAATATGATAAAGTAAATATACGAAGAAGTCAGAGGAGGTGCAACAATCTACATATATACATAAAAAAAAATTATATATAAACAAAAAAAAATTCCATCGAAGAAGGTTTGAACACCCCTTGGACTCTTACTAGCTCTGCCCATGCACACAAATTAAGTATTATCATATTTAATGTTGGTCAGGAGGTAAATTATTCATATATAAAATTAATATTATGTTAAATTTTAAATTTTAAATTTTAAAATTAACATAAATATATCTACTATTTTATGTGATAAATAACAAATGAATAACTAAACATTATGTTTACATAAAATAAAATATACATTTTCTCATAATTAATTTCTACATTACTAATATTTACATAGCTCTAATTAGCTATCAAACGAACTAGGTTTTTTTGAGGGTTGAATAACGACCCCAAAGTTATTGTACAGCTATAGAGTACTAAATGCTAGTGAAGGACAAGGCCATGTTCCTGGTCCTTTTCTTCCCTTTATTTTCTAAACTCCAATTTAGGTTCACTTCATTTAATTTGAACCTGCGTATTGATATGTTTGCTATAATTATAATCATATGAATATTTACGTATACAAAATAAACTTGCAATAAAATATACGAGTAGGGCGATCAAGCTCAGCCTGATTATGACTAGGGATGGCAAAATGAATAATTTATATGAATATTCATTCATATTTATTCATTTTAAATGGGTTGGATACCCAACTCATTTAAAAATAGGTAAAAACGAATAATACCCACATTATCCATTTAAAAGTTGATAGCTAAATGGATAAAATGGGTAAAAGATGTTCAGTCATAAAAATAAAATAAAAAAGTGGTAAGGGGTGGGGTGGTAAAAAGGCATTCTTTAAAAATAAAATCAATTTTTTTTTACATTTTTCTTGGGATAGGGGGTGTGCGAGGGGGGGGGGGTGAAGAATTTCTTTTTCTATTTTTAATTTTTATTTTTTTAACGAAAATAATTTAAAATTCTGTTAATATTTTTGGTTTAGTTATGACAATTTGGGCACTCTCACTTTTACCTATCTAATCCCTAAAAACATAATAAAATAAAATAAAGAATAAACCACAAAATCAATAGCATAGATTGATTGTCGATTTTGTGGCAAGCGAGGGGTCACTTGACCCCAATAATTGAAACCACTAAACCAAAAAGGACATTTTTATTTATTTTATATAGTATAAAGATAAATTAAATAGATGAAGTATATACATGGTGGAGTTAAATTAAAATCATGTTAAATGTATCAAAATGTTTTTTAATTTTATGCTTTAATCATGTCACATGAAAAATTAAAATTATAGTGTTGCAAAAAAAAAAAGGGGGGTCATTCTTTATCAAACAAACTAAAAAAAAAATATGTCATTCTTTTTGAAACAAAAAGAATAATAAATTAAATATATAGAGTACAGAACTAAAAACTTATATACAGACCGAACTAACTGAAACAATATATTTATATTAAGAAATTTATTAGATATATATAAACATTAAAATTAGAATTCAATTCTTAACTTTTTGAAATCGTTATTTCAAATTTCAAAAATCCATAAAATTAAAATATTGTGGGTAAGTATACATGTTCTCTCACCAAAAGTAGAGTGATTTATTCCTACTAGTATGCTATTTTGAGTTTCTTACCTATCATACTCTTATTCATGAAGTTTGCTGAAACAAAGATAATTTTGGTCTGATTATTTAATTTGGCAGCTGATTTCTGCACTTCTTTACCCTGAGCTCTTAATTCAGGTGAGTAATAGCTTTTAACATACTGTATTTTGTTTTTTCTTCTGTTTCTGCTAATCAGACAGTCTGGTGAACTAAGCTCTGCTTCGAAATCCTCCATTCTTTTACAAATTATTTGGCTTCCTGTGATTATAGATCGATTTTCATTTAAGAATACTTTTAAGGTGTTGCTGAAATTTCAACTCCCTCTGTTTTTCTTCTTGTTGAAAACAAATTTAGTCCAACCTAATACATGTAGTATCAAGTTTATTTATATTTAAATTTACATACATGCCAATATCAAACAATTAAAGAAAGTTATTTTGTTGGTTAATTATGTTTTTACTTCTTTAATCATGGAGAAAGATGTTGAAGTTGTTTTATTCTAATATTTGCAAACTTTAAGGACCTGTTTTGGCTATAATTTTATTTTTTTTCACTTTATTTCAAAATTAGTGTATGGTAATGAAAAATTGTAGGCAATCCAACGTGAAATTGGTTGTTCCAAATATGGAAAACAAATTATAACCCGTTTTTGGGCGACTTTTCACTTTTGAAGTTATATTTAAGTACATTCAAATATATAACATTATTTCAGTTATTCCTGGCAAAAAAAATATAACCAAACACAACCCATGTTAGTTTCAACTCCATAAATATTGAAAAAAAAAATGTTTATTTGAAATCTATAGCCAAACACCTACTTAGTTTATGTATTTTGAGGGAGGAAACATGTTGACATGATGTGATATTGTTCGTTTTGAATTAATCCCGCATGTTTTTCTCCAAAAAGACTGACCATTAGGAAATAGAGATTTTTTTAAGGGATATATGCTATTTTAAAGTCATATAATGTTAGTGGGATTTCAATGGGTATGCTATTGTTGTTGTAAATCTCTGAGAAGATAATGTTATAATTCCAAATGCCATCAAATTTTTATGAAAAAACAATTTATCATACTTGTGTTGGAACTAGCAGTAGCTTTGTTCATGAGCAAGACATTAGCTCTATGTAAAAGCACTATTCATTTTGTGTGCTGTAAGTAGAATTTTCGTCGAAATGCAGTTAGTAGTTTATATGATCAGTGTTAACTTTTAACTGATCATTCACCTCAACCATGTAGTGCAAGGACATATGTATTGGAACTGCTCATTTTTGCTCGTCGTATGAGTACATACATTGTTATCATAAGGGTATAGGAGTCGTAGATATAGTAATTTGACATTGTAGTTTTCATCTTTCTTATTGTCTAAAGTCTTATGTGTGTGAAGTATTAGACTGACGAGAAGTTTTGCAGACCAAAAATGATTGAAGAAGCGTTACTTAATGTGACTCTTCAGCTCCTAATCAAGGAATTGTTTGACAAAGTTGATTCTCAAATTCAAAAGGTTCTTGGATTTGAACATGAGTTTCAGAAGATGAAGTCAGACCTTGAATTTTTGCAAGCATACCTCGGAGATGTGGACAGGCACAAAGAGAAGTACAAGACTGTTGAGGCTGCCTCTACGAAACTAAGAGAACTGATTTACAGAATAGATGATTTGGTCAGTGACTGCCAAAACCGAGTAGAATATGAAAATATGAGAAGCAGATTTTTGTCTGCTATTTCTCTACGTGGAAAGAATTTCCGTATTCAGGTTGGAAAGAAGTTGGCAGAAATCAATACGGATATAGCGAGTATGCGTGAAACTTTGAACTACATTCCCTCTTTGATTAGTCTATGTAAAAGTGAAGAGGCTGGCAGTAGTGGTGGTGATAGTAGTTGGGGTAGGGTGCGATGGACATCAGACATCATCGATGAATCTCAGACTGTTGGCTTAGCTGAAGATACCAAGACACTGAAAAAGTGGATCCTTCCTTGCAACGGATCGTTACAACTCATTGCCATTGTGGGGATGGGAGGTCTGGGCAAAACCACACTTGCCCAAAAGATTTACAACGATAGAGAAGTGTGTTCACGCTTTCACGTGAGAATTTGGGTTTGTAAATCAACTTTTGGTGAGCTTGATATCATGAAGGGTATTCTGGAGCAACTCAAAATGGATGATCACATTTCATCAGATAGAAATGTGTTGTTGAAGAGAATTCATGAAGCACTTTCGAACAAAAAGTACTTAATTGTCATGGATGATGTCTGGAGCATTGATGACGGGTGGTGGAAACGGATCTTAGAAGGACTTCCCAAAACAGAGAAGCAGGACAGCTGCATCATTGTTACATCTAGAAATGAAGATGTTGTTAAGAGAATGGGAGTCGAGGAAGAACAGATTCATCGACCCAAGTTGCTTTCTGAGAAAGAGGGCTGGTTGTTATTTTGCAAGGTTGCATTTGCGTCATCCAAGGGAAAATGCAAGGATATTGAACTAGAACATGTTGGACAAGACATTCTGAAGAAATGTTGTGGTCTTCCCTTAGCAATCAAGACAATTGGAGGTCTGTTGTCATCAAAAGGTCAGTTATATTCCGAGTGGAAGAAGGTATATGAAGATTTGCCTCATATATTGGCAGATGAAAGCAAGAGCAATGATTCTTTAATGGCTACGTTGCAACTAAGTTATGATGAGCTCCCTCTTCAGCAAAAGCAATGTATTCTATGTTTTGCAATTTATCCGGAGGATTATGAGATCGACGTTGATCAACTGGCAAATTGGTGGATAGGAGAAGGATTCATTCACAAGAAAGGGACAAAAACTCCAAGAAAAATGGCTCTTGAATGTTTATCAGAATTGATAAGTCGATGCCTCGTTGAAGCTGTGAGTAAAAGAAACTATGACGGGAGAGTTTACAGTTGCAAGATGCATGACATGATTCGAGAAATGATAATTAGAGTTGCAAGAGAAGAGAGCTTTTGTAGTTTAGATGAGAATAATACAAACATAGCCACAATCCACTCTCGCCGTTTGGGTGTCACAAATGAAACATTGCTGCAACCTTTGGATGGAAACTCAAAGTTAAGGGCACTTCTTCTCACCAAAGCCAATTACATTGGCTTCACTAAGAAGATTGCATTGGCTCAAGTCAAGTCTCTCCGGGTTTTAGACCTCTCACACCTTAAGTTTAAGGAGAATTCCGAATTTTGTGAAGATGATATTTGGCGTTGGATCACATCTTTGAAACGCCTAACCTATTTGAGTTTTCGAGACGTGGAAAATTTGACCAAACTGCCACGATCCATCAAGAAGCTATGGGGCCTCCAAATTTTGGTACTTGGTGAATGCATCAACTTAAAACAGCTCCCTAGATCAATCACCCTTCTTCCAAAGCTGGTTGTCTTGGATGTGGGGAATTGTACCTCTCTTTCTTATCTACCACGCGGACTCTCCAAGCTCGTCCATCTTCAAGAATTGTATGGCTTCAAGATACCTGATGCTACGGTATCAAATGCATGTCACTTGCGTGACCTAAAGGATCTTAGTGAACTTCGAGTATTACAATTGGATGTCATGGAAGGAAGCATGATAGAGGAAGACGAACTACCAGTACTCGCACAGTTTCAATATCTAAGGATGCTAATTGTCAATGCTGGTGACCGTGACGATGAGATTTTCTTAGAGAGGCTGGAGAAGTTGTTACCACCTAAGTCTCTAGAAGAATTGTACCTAAGGCACTTCTGTGGACATACTACACCAGCATGGATAGCCCCTAAATTGCTTGATCGACTACAATATCTTTGTATCGAAGACTCATGTGTGTTACAACGTCTGAGTGATCGTTTCAGGGGTAGTGAAGGAAATAAATGGAAAATTGAAGGACTATGCTTGAAATACTTGCCAAATCTAGAGGAGACATGGGAAGAAATCAAAAGTGCAATGCCTGGGCTAAAGTATGTTGAAGTAAGCCACTGCAACTCGCTGAAATCGTTCTCGTGTAATGTTAAGAATATAGACTTTTGGAGAAAACCAGAGGAAGAAGATGATGATGAGATGAAATAATCTGTTAGTATATATTCAGTTTGTGGCATTGTTTGCTGTTGTATTACACTCTACTTAGTTTGATGTATTTCTCATTTCACTTTTGATTTGTAACAATATTTATTGTAATTAAGTAGCTTTAACTATTGTGGTATTCACTATTCAGAATAGTCATATGAATAGCAAGTGTTGTAATAACATTTAAGAGTGATTGTTTTGTATATGCTGCCATTGATAATTAGGCATTGCTAAATTGAAATCTGGACTACTGCACGTATCTTGAGAAATAATGATTGATATGAGTATTTTAATTGCAATACTCATATTTATTGATGTATAGTCTTAGGTCTTCAGAAATGACTTGTGTCTTCTCTATATATGTTGTGGCGTAATTACAGCTTCTTACGTTTCTCAAAAGCACAAGTGCATATTGGTTTCAAGTTTTGACTTTTAACCTATTGTCCATGGGAAGAGGGGATGGACGTAGTTTGGGCCAAATTGAAATCTGAACATTTATGAAATTTGGTACAGATTATTGGACTTTGGATTTATAAAATTTATGAATTTCAAATTGAATTTGGATTTAGTACTATGGATTTTTGAACATCCGAAAATTCAAAAAAATTATGTCTTATATTTAGTCCTATCCATATCACATGTGCCCAATATTAAAAGGTGTAATTGATTAGTACCGTACAACCCTATTCAATATACTATTAAGTCCAATATGGAGTTACACGGCACGGCGGATAGAATGACCTAAATTTTTATTAACTATATAAAGTTGTACATTCTAAGAAGCAAACTATATGTTAGGTGAATTGAATTAGTTAATTGTTATGTCCTACTTTAAAGGTTAAAAAATGAAAAATGAAACTCTAAAATATCTAAACCGATTAATCTAAACCAAACTTCTGAAATCCAATCTAATCCAAAGTTATTTGGATTGCAATATTTTCAATTCATAAACTAAAAAATTAAATCAAAATTTTCATATTCAATCTAAACCATTCGAACGCACATTCCTAAACAAGGGAATCAAATGTTCAAAGCTCTCCATTTTAATCGTTGTGTGTAATTTCCTGGAGACCAAGAGAGACCGTGGCTCAATAAATGGGCTAATTAAGTTGTATATTTTGTTGGACCAAATGTTACTGCTTTTCTCTTTTTGAACTTATAGATTCGCCTATCAAAATAATAGCGCGCAAATATATCAGTACATGGCTAGTAGTTATAATTATTTTTTGTAATGGCCAAAAATGTAATTTTGTATATTTCTAGAAGAGGAGTTTGCTACAAAGGCCTTTGGTGGCAATAACCCTTCTTGGACTTGGGCCCGGGTTGTTCTTCTACAGTCAGATCAATGAGCTAAAGTGTATCAAAATTAGTACCAAGAAATATTATTTGATATTGAATATTTCTTGACAAATCTTTTTCTACAAAAAAATCATAAAAATTAGAAAGAAGACGCCTGTATTTTGGGAATGATGAAAAAATGTATTCTCTTACTTAGTTTTTTTTTGTTTGCTACGTAGGCAAAAATATTATTTTTAAATTATTTATGTATAATCTAGACAAATATTATGAGAGGATATACACTTGAGGTGTGCAGGATGATGGAGATGACACTATTAATAAGGGGAACCTCACCCATTTGGTTTCATATAGATAAAGAAATGAAAAGATTGGGGGGAGGGGGAAGACGTGGTCTATGCTAAATTCTTTTTCTTAGATAGAATAAATGGAAAAGGAGTGTTTGTGTTGTGGTTTTCATAGTTGCAAGAATTATTTTTTTCGAGAAAACGTCTCCTCCTTCAATATCATGATTGGGTCGACAAACTAGATCATGAGTGAATAGAAAAAATTCCACTGTGTAATCTATTTTCACTAGGAAAATCATTTTCTTTATTTTTAAGGAACTCATTTTTAAAAAAAAGTTGACGCATAAGAAAATTGAAGATTTGTCCATACCGAATACACCCTTATAAGAATCAATAACAGCCTCACAATAATAATAACAAGTAAATACTAATTAACAACAACATTAATAGATAATAGAAGTTTGTTACTAAAAACTTAAAACTCTAAATATTTGTAGCTATACTCCATTAGTGCAAATGTATTATCCAATTGACAAAGTGCAGAAACAAAATCCGAACTCTCTGGCAGCTGACAGACAATTGGTATACGTGTGGACTATTAAATTACATGTATACTACATACAGTGTTTGAAGAGGGTAGAAGTCAGAGGTTCGATGTTGATTGCTATAAAAAATTAAATATGTCAAGTTCATATACACGTAATCAAAGCCAAAATTTAAAATTTATGAGTTCGAAATTTCAATTCTCTTCACTTACTAAATTCTATATTGATAGTTTGTTACATATTCAACACATTCCAAGTTTGAACCAAAAGATAAGAGGGTAGAAGTCAAGAGAATCAATGTTGATTGCTTTAGACAATATGTCATGTTCATATACACAGAATCAAAGCCAAAATTTGAAGTTTATGAGTTCGAAATTCTAATTCTTTTAAGTTACTGAATTCCAAATTAATAATTTGTTACACATTCTAAATGTGAGGAAAGATATTGAATTTGGCCGAACCCGTAACTAACACATTAGCTCACATGCTTCATTTTCCCACAATATCTATCATGCAACCATTGTAGGGGACAAATGGACTCTAAGCCTAAAACCTATCATGATCAATCTCACTTTCATTGTCTTTTCACTTTTGGATAGTTGATAATTTTCCACATAAATATTGTCTTTTCATATTTGCCATATTTTAAAGAGAGGTTTAGCAAGGTGAGTTGGATTGTTTAATTTTTGCAGCTAAGTTTGGTCCCATTTGTAAACCAAAGAAGCTGCACGAACTATAGGGATTTAAAAGTTAGCACTATTGAACTACAGGGTATATATAATAAAGCATTGGTCGAGATTTATCAATAAATATGGAGTAGTACTCTCAATGGACGCATGCATGCATCTTATTTTATAAAAATTAAAGTACTTTAGATTCTATGGTCATATATATTACCAACAAATTAATTCTTCTTTTCATGTCTTACAAATCTAGTCACATTATTATAATTTCTTTTTCATGATCCATCATGTCAACTAGACTTTAGTTAAATTAGCAATTACCAGCCACCGAGCGTCATCTCATCTTCTTTAAATCATCGGACAGATTCAGAATTTGAGGTTTATAATAATGATCACTAAGAATATTACTATAATAATAATAACTAAATTTATAATCACATATTCATAATATTTGATAAAAAAATTAATATATAAAATAGAGTTTGGGCAAAAATTGATGAGTTTATGTAAATTCGTATCTTGTAGATTTGCCATTAGCTTGGTTCTGTGGTTATAATTGGATCCAAGATCTTAAGTCTAAGGTAGTTGGAAACAGCAGGATTAGGGGTTGTTTGGTTTATGGATAAGAAATCATTGTATCAAAAATAATCTTTAGCGATAATTAAGTTATTAATTAATTGTTGTTAAATATGTTTTTCTAAGAGACAATTAGCACTCTTGGTAAATATTGTCCCTAAAACCTATTGCCCTTTTGGTTTCAATGACAGTTGACTAATACTGTTAGGGCTCGTTTGGTTTGAATATGAGTTATGATGGGATAAGTTATGTTGGGATAAGTTATGTTGGGATTAGTAATGATGAGATAAGTTGTCCTGGGATTATTTCTTATTGAGTGTTTGGTTTGTTATATTCAAAATAATATATATTGATAAATTTTAAGAACAAGTTGTTTGTTTACAAAATTACCCTTCACTTTATTTAAACTTTTTAAATATTTCTTTGTGACCTTTAGTTATTGATTTTTTAAAATAAAACTTTTATTTTATTTAACTTAAATATTTTTGTTTATGTATTCCCATGATAAGTACCATGTGTATTTAAAAATATAACTTTTTTCTTATTTAGCTTAAAAATAGAACTTCCCTCTTAAGTTTATTAAAGAGAAGAAAATTTATGAGAAATCAAAATAAAATAAACATAAGAATTAGTCAAATAAATTCATAAATAAAAATTATATTTATATAGTATAATTTTTTAATAGAAAAATATGTATAATTATCATAAAAATAAGGAGTAGTAAATATTATTATACATGGTATTAAAAAAAATGTAAATATACATAAATGTAAAAAATGATGTATAAAAAGGATTTAAAGGGACATATTTGTCATTTACCTATTTTATCTCGGGATAAGTTATCCCGGGATTACTATACCACCCAATATGAGGGATAACTTATCCCGG